ACATTCATTGTAAAGGTCATTGGTTAGGCCACATTTGGAGTATTATGTTCAGTTTTGGGCTCCATACCTTAGGAAGGGCATTGAATTGTTTAAAAGGGTTTAGAGGAAGGCTACTAGAATGGCACCTGGGATGGAGAGGTTGTCATACAAGGATAGATTAAGATCTCTGAAAAAAAAAGAAGAGTTAGTGTCGATCTGATTGAGGTGTTTAAGATTATAAAGGGAATTGATAGTGTTGATGCATCATCTTTTTTCATATCTAACGGTGAGAATACTAGGACTAGAGAACACAAAAATAACTTTTGGCAGGGTAAGAGTCATCTTCAGCTAAGTCTGTTTTATTTTTCTAACAGGGTGGTTGGCCTTTGGAATGGGTTGCCTTCAAATGTTGTAGAGGCAGTAAATTTAAGAGAAAGCTTGATAAGTATATGAATGATAAGGGCTGGCTTTAAGATTTCTAAAAAAATTATTTATTAATAGTTTCAATTTAGCTTACAGGACGGAACATCCATGATAGACCAATAGGTCCCTTATCGACCATAAAAATTATGTTATGTTAGCTAAATTAGATATCAAAGTCATATTTGCATACAATATTGTTATAACAGTATAAATGGGTTTGTTAGTATTGGTTTGGTGTTTCTTGCCATTTGAAGAACTGAATAAGAATCTTCTGTGCAGAAAAAAGTATATACGGCCTTAACCAAATTTTATATGCATTCTTTTAAATTCTCAGTCCCTGAATTTTTAGCTATAAGTGTAAATACTAAAAAATGTTTGGTTGTTTTTGAATTTTACGCAAAGCTACACGAGGGCTATTTGTGCTAGCTGTCCCTAATTTAGCAGTGTAAGACTACAGGTAAAAAGGCAGCTAGTCATCACCACCCACCGCCAACTCTTTTACCAATGAATAGTGGGATTAACCGTCACATTATAATGCCACCACGGCTGAAAGAGCAAGCATGTTTGGTAGGACAGAGATTCGAACCCGCAACCCTCAGATTGCGAGTCGAGTGCCCTAACCACTTGGCCACTAAAAAATGTGTCTACTTTAACATAAGTCAATTTTTCTGGGCTAAATGTTGTTAAAATGTGTTCCTTTTTGAGGCTGAAATTCCTTATTTGGTCTCCGTTATATCGCCACACATCATCTCTCCAATTGAGGGTAAAATAACAAGGATGGTTTGGTTATGTAACATAAAATGTTGTACTGTCTTCAAAATTTAGTAACTTCTGCAGTGGCACTAGGGGGTAATCAAAGGTGTTCTGGATCCTTGTCCTGGGTCTCGTGATACCTAGATCTGACCCTGGGTGTATTTTTGGGGTTGGGGGATCTGAGAGTAGTAAATAATACAATATGAAACATTGAGATATTGAGTAAAAAAATTAAAAAAAACAACAATCACACACTGTCGTTAAGTCTGGCAAGTTTTAATTTGAAAAATATAGAACATTGCAAAAAAGATACATATTCTGTACATCCAAGGATATTCACTCCTAAGACTCTTTGATCATGTTCAAAAGTCGTACAGATGCTTTCTTCACACTTTCAACAGTCTTAAACCATAATTTATTTGTTTATTTCTCCATCTGACCCGAAGACAGACGGCCGTATACAATTTATTCTTGCAGACATACTAGAGCTAGTGATAAACAATACTCGGGTAAACTCAGTGGCACTAAAGATGTCCAGGAAAGACTACCTACTGTGTTGAATATTCTGATTTAAATGGTAAATTCAGTAGTTAACAAAAAATTATATTTTACACAATATATAAAACAAACCTTTTTTTTACTAGCACCCGTGAGCCTAATGTATAAAATGTGTGTCCCTCCTCTTCCTAACTAGTTTATCAAGCTCTGAGGCCTATTAGGAACTTTTTCTCATACTTCATAAGAATTTTGATGTCAATATCTAAGAAAAAAACTTTTATTGAAGAAAAGAGTAAACACAATTTAACATGCACACACATTACATATAACCTAGGGTTAAAAGTTAAATTTAAAGTGTGCAGGACTTCCCCTCCTGTACATCTAACACTATAAGAAAAATTATTGGCTTTGAAAACACTACCAGCCAAATAAAATCCAAGACAAGAATAAAAAACAACTTATATTTTCAGTCTGATAGTGCTTTGAATATATAAATATATATATAAGAATGGATATGCAAAATAGCTACGACTTTACTTAGCTGGTAAGTCTATGTTTACCCTTCTTTAGTTATTCCACATATTGATATATTTAGTTATTTATAATGCACTAATAGTGTGACAAGTTTACATCCTAACAGTTATTCATTTAGCACCTATTTTTAAAACATCTATACATCATCATCATCTCAAATACCAAGGCACTGTTTGATGAAAATATGGGTGGCCCTCATCTTTATTTTTAACCATTTCTACTCTACAAAGTTTTTAGTATCACAAACCACAAACTAACCTACCATCAGAATCATATATATAGCAGAAAGGAAGAAACTTATGACCTGAAGAGAGACAGTAAAACAAGTTTTACAGTTTTATAGTTAACTTTGGAGTTGTGATTACAAGTCACAGAAAAAAATTGCATGACCTGAAGAGAGACAGTAAAACAAATTCTACTGCTTTATAAAAAATAACGAGCTTATGATCCGAATAGGAGCAAAATAAAAAAAAATTTAATAACTTAAAGCCAGGTTCAAAGTTTTAATCCCATCTTACAAAAAGAACCAGCTTATGATCTAAAGAGAAACAGTAAAACAGATTATGTCGATTTATAGTCAGCTTCAAAGTTTTAATCCCATCTTACAAAAGGAACCAGCTTATGATCTAAAGAGAAACAGTAAAACAGATTATGTCGATTTATAGTCAGCTTCAAAGTTTTAATCCCATCTTACAAAAGGAACAAGCTTATGATCTAATGAGAAACAGTAAAACAGATTATGTCGATTTATAACCAACTTCAAAGTTTTAATCCCATCTTACAAAAGAAC